GAATGGGAAAAAAACAAGGAGAGAAATGAATTACAGTAGATGGGGTAGAGAGAGAAGATGGGAGGAGAGGGGAGGGGGGATAGTAGAGGATAGGAAAGGTAGCAGAATACAACAGTTACTAGTATGGCATTATGTAAAAATGTGGAAGTGTAACCGATGTGATTCTGCAATCTGTATTTGCGGTAAAAATGGGAGTTCATAACCCACTTGAATCTAATGTATGAAATATGATATGTCAAGAGCTTTGTATTTGCCTCTATATTCTATTCTGTTCCATTAGTCATCATGCCTGCTTTGGTGCCAATACCATGCTGTTTTCATTACTATAACTCTGTAGTATAATTTAAGGTCTGGTATTGTGATGCCTCGTGTTTCACTTTTCTCAGTAAGGATTGCTTTGGCTATTCTGGGCCTCTTGCTTTTCAAATGAATTTCATGACTGTTTTTTCTACTTCTATGAAGAATGTCATGGGAATTTTGATGGGAATTGTTTTGAATCTGTTAGCCCTTTTGGTAGTATGCCATTTTGACAACATTAATTCTGCCTATCCAAGAACATGGGAAGTATTTCCATCTTCTGAGGTCTTCCTCAATTTCTTTCTTCAGTGGAACACAGACCTTCCTTGATGACCTTCTCAGAGTTCCCAGGGTGGCTGGGTGAAAGCCTCAGACCCAAGGGTGCCCTCAGGTTCTTAGGCAACCTTTATCTTTACAGGTCCACCCCTCCCTTTCTGGCAAATAATCTTTTTTCTCCTTCACACCCTTCACCAAGCAGGTGTAGAGCTCTTTGCTAGTGGACCCACTAAGGTCCCTACTTCGTCTCCAAGTACATAGGCCTGTAGAGTGCGGGGCACAGCAGGACCTCCAGTTTGTGGAAAGAAAGAGGCACACCCCATCAGAATCTATCTTTGTTTCATGATTTCACAGTCTTGGGTATCTGGTTCACTGACCAAGGTGGTGCTTAATTATTGCGATGTTAATTATTAACAACCCCATCCTCATAACATGGGTTGCTTTTTAAAAGCGTGGCTTTCTAATGCCTTAATCCAGAGCCCTGGGTAATGCATGCATTCCCAGCACCCTAGCAGAACAAAGAGCAGTTGAAAATATATTTCTGAGAAGACAAGTTAATGCCAACCTGAGATTCTGGAAAGTGAACTGCAGAGTGCTTTTCAAAAGAAATGTTTTACTATTTCTGAGTTCACAAGCTATCTCTAGACTATAAGGTTTTGGCTTGTGATTTCTTTAAGCTTCTACCTAAATGATATGGTTTTTTTTCCTCAGCATTTTAGATACTGGTGATGATTCTAAGGTACCTTTAAGAGTTTTCTTTTTAAGAAAACTCCTCCAGTTATGTTCTCACTACTGATTTACAAATTACCTCATAATTAAAGGATATTATATATAAACTCACATTTTAGTAAAAAAGTAAAGCACAAGATTTGTATGAATGTTCTCATAAATAGAATGCAAAGCAGTGGGTTCTATCATAATGATTTTATATAATTTATTTAAAAGGAAATAATGATCATTTAGAAAAGTTGATAACTTGTCCTACGTGTTGTGCTGATTTCAGACAGGTATTTCTCTCAAAGGTCATTCACGAAGATAATAGCAGAAGAATTTTAATTGACTTCACAAGTATAAGGAAGCAGGTGACAGAAATACCCAGACAGAAATGGAAGGGAATCTACACCAGCCATGACTATTTAGAACTTCTGGGAAAGAAGCTGAGATGCAGCCACCAATGGATTTGTAAATTAAGATGAGACGGGAATTTAGGATAAAGACAGAGATATAGCCAGGTGTGATGGCACACCCATTATCCCATCGACTTGGGAGGCTGAAGCTAAAGGATCACAAGTTCAAGGCCAGCCTCAGCAACTTAACGAGAGCCCAAGCAACTTAGTGATACCCTGTTTCAAAACAAACAAACAAACAAATAATAAATAAAATAAGAAGGGCTGGGSATGTGATTCAGAAGTTAAGCATCTCTGGGTTCAGTCTCCAGTACTAAGGGGTGCGGGCGTACTGAGTCTCAAAGGAAATATCCACAAGTCATTGGAGTTGCAGAAAGCACAGCTGTAAATCTTGAGCAACATGTCCTCTGCTGTGTCCATGTAAAATGAGGGAAATATGCAACCACAGGGAAAATTGGCATGAAACTGTGCATCTCCACCCTGCCCCCAACTCCGGCCTGGCCCCTAACTACAACCTCTCTATAAGTATTGGACCCCTAACCTAAGGAGAAGTTTCTTACTCTCGAGATAGCCTGCATTCTTCCTCAAATGTGTATCTACTTCTTAAATGAACCTCTTTCTATGCCTTCACTGTTGCATTTTGAAATTCCTTTTCACTGTAGATGCCAAGAAAACTGCAGATCCTGAGGCAAAATCCCTCTCCCCTTGGGAACTCCCTGGACCCTTCTCTGGAGAGATATCTCTTCTCTCATGACAAAAGCACTGGAGATGGTGGTAGCAGAAGGATAGTTCCCTCTATACCAGGTTAAACCTCATGGTTTAACCTAATACATGGGCGAAGAACAAAGATTCCTTTATATGAATGCAACTTGGCAAAAACTGCCTTGATATTCAGTGCACGATGCTGTAGATGTAAGAAGTGCTGTTATCAATAAGCACAAGCAGCAGTTCACCTGTGAGACCAAAGACGAACAAGTTGAGAAAAGCCACTAATATTTTTGTTTCCAACAAGAACTCTTTCTTCATGCTAGGGATGACGTGTTTGAGGATCCCGTCTTCTGGGAAAGGGAAAGTGACCACCTGCTGGGAGAAGGTGGCCTCAAGCCGTCAAGCCTTACTAGTTACAGGCCACATAATGACATCCTGAGCCACTGAGCAGCCAACTGGGAACCAGAGCAGTCAAATCTTTGTGAGAGGTTCTGACAATGTGACACAGGTGAGTGACTGGGCCACTCCACCTGGCTGATCCCAGCACTGGGACGTGGAAGCATCAACCACAGGACAAGGCCTTCTTCCAAGGGCGGTGTCTCAAGCTGCACTAATCTAGTTCCAGCAGAGACATGCACAAGGAAGCAACACCATTTCTCAGGAAATCCTGGCCGTGCTGCTGGTAGAAGCAGTGCCGCACACCATGGGGCAACTAATAGTTTCTGGTAAATGTGGATTTCTGCGGCTCTTCTGGAAAGGTGAATGACTGAAGTGCTTCCTTCCCACACTTGCCCCCAGAGCATTTTACAAAGCTGTTTCAAAAGACTACTTTTACTTTGTGGCCTATTTTTCTGAGAGTCAGATTAGAGATGTGGCAACAGTAGACATGTTTCTCCTAAAAGTAGCTTTGGGCAATCACCACAGAGTCTTAAAAAAAAAAAAAAAAAAAAAGACTTTTCCTTCTATCAAGGGGAAGAGTAATACAGCTTGTTTCAGAAGAGAAGACGAACTTGAACCTTTCCTGTGTGAGCTTTGTAGCCCCGGGAACAGTCTGATGAAAGGCCATCTTTAAATAATTCTTCAGGATGATGTTTTCACTGGTTCAAGCTTCTCATTAAGGGAATACCTGCATACAGCTAACGGAATCCAGGTGTGTAATCCAGAACAGAAGTGCCGGGTGTGGGGTGCAGCTCAGTGCTAGGGCATGTGCTAAGCACGTGTGAGGACCTGGGTTCAATCCCCAACACTACTCCCCCCAAAACCAGAAATGCATTCCCCAGGAAGCTAAAGATACAGTGGCAACCAGAGTCAAGCATCATTTCAGGCAGGGGTTGTGTCACAGTAGGTTTAGCGGTGCCCAGAGTTTCCGGCACAAAGCCCTGTACCTCATAGGAGCTCAAAGATACCTCTTGGATGAAACAGTAAATGAGATGGCTTCAGGGGACAGGGAGGGAACTTACAAGGGGAGCATAATCCTCCTGCCTCCAACTGCTGCTGGTAACATGCTGGAAAGATCCGTGAAAGGCAAAATCAATTTTAACCTGAGTGAAGGATGTGAGAGATTTGACTGAAAAAATTCATTTTCAGAAATTGCTCAGAAAACATATTAAAAAGAAAAAGGGAAATTATCCTTTTAAATAGGTATTGAAATATATTCTAAAGTAATAAAAATGAAAAATGTTTGGCACTAGCATGAACCAGTGAAATAGCATAGAACGTGCAAATCAACCCCTAACATGGAAGATTACTATATGATGTAGGAAACAATTCAAATCAATAGGGGAAAAAGTGATTGTTCAATAAACAATGCTGGGACACTTAGCTAGATAACTGGCAAAAAACAAAACCTGGATCCCTATTTCATTCCTTATTACAAACTGAATTTCAGAAGAAGGAATTTAAAGGTAAAATTCACACACCACCACTAGAAGAAACTATGGCTAAAGATTCAAAATAGCATGCCAAAATGTTCAGACTTTTTTTAAGATGGAGAATTTGACTACGTAAAAACTTTTAACATGTATCTGGGAGAAAACATAATAGTCAAAATGAAACTGACAAAAAAAAAAAAAAAACAGACTGTCACCTAAGTAACCTGGGTTTAATGTTCTTTGTATTCATTGAGCTCTAACATATTCATAAGAAAAAGACAAACACCCTATCTCTTCACTCACCCATATAAGAAAGGATAAAAACAGTAAGGAAATAGAAAAAGAAAAAAGAATACACCCGAAACACATTAAAAAGATGTTCAATCTCTTTCCTAAGTAAAGAAATGTCAATTAAAATATGATAGATCTTTTACCTATTAGATTAGCAAAGATCAAAACATCTGATAATACTCAGTACTAGTGAAAACACAATAAAACTGTCACTTACATGAGTGGTAAGAATGTAATTGGTTTAATAATTTTGGTGGTAATTAGGCAAAAACAACTGAGCTATTCTACTTGAAGAAATGCATCCCACAGATAAGCCTATATTAGATTTGTATGTATAAATGTATATGCAAGAATGTTCAGGGCCATATTGTTAATGAGAGTTGTTAATATTTATACGAGGTCAGCTAGGTGCTGAGGATTACCCCTGTAGTTCCAGCTACTTAGGAGGCTGAGGCAGAAGGTCCCTTGAACCAGGAGATCAAGGGCCAGCCTGTTCAACACAGCAAGACACCATATAAGGGGGATGGGGAGGGGAGGGGTGGAGAGGAGGAGAAAGAGAAAATGAAAGAAAAGAAGTTACGGAAGGTCATGGGTTTGGACTCAGCTCCTGCATGAGGTACAACAGAGTCCCTCAGTTGACACTTCAGGTCACCAGACTGAAACTAAGTTGTTTGTCAGACCCGAGAAAGCAAGGGAAAGATGAGAGCCAAATTCCTGAACAGGCCAGTTTTTGCAGCCATGGAAAGGAAGTCCTCTGTGCTTTAATCTTTTCAAATAAAGTAACTTCAAATTGACCAGTCTGCTTTTTGTTCCTAGTTTTCGTTTGTGTGTGTGTGTGTGTGTTGTGTGTGTGGGGGGGGTATTGGAGTTTGAACCCAGGGACTTGTGCATGCTAAGCAAGTGTTGTGCCACTGGTTACATCATCAGCCCTTTGAATTTTATTTTGAGACAGTCTTACTAAGTTACCCAGGCTGGCCTTAAACTTGTAGTCCTCCTGCCTGGGCCTCAAGAGCAGCTGGAGCCAAAAAATACAGGTGTGTGCCACCATACCTGGTTCCTATTTCTACTTTCTTCAGCCCTTTTCTGCCTATGAAGCCAATTCCTTGATTCAGCTCATTGGACTAGTTTTGAGGTGTTGCTTGATTCTAGAATGGCATATAAAAGACAAACAGATCTTTAAGCTGAATTTGTCTTTTGACCTAGCAAAACACTCAGAACCTAAATGTTTACCCACAGAAGACATGATTTTAAAAAGTAGAGCTCATTCATACCCCACAATAGTGTACAGACATTAAAAAACATGAGGTAGAACTTTAAGTGATGTAGTTTGGAACGTCCTCCAAAGGCTCAGGTGTTGAAAGCTTGGTCCCCAGTGCAGCGATGTTCACAGTTGGGGCTTTTTTGGGGAAAGTAATTGGGTTGTGAGGGCTCTGGTCTTATCAATGGATTCATCTATTGGTGGATTCATAACTTGAAGGCATTATTGGGAGGTGGTGAAAACTGTACTAGGTGGGACCTAGTTGAAGGGAGAAGGTCCTTGGGGGGGTAATCTTGGAGACTGTGTCTTGTCCTAGCCCCTTTCTCTCTTGTTCTCTGCTCTCCAACCACTGTGAGACGAACATCTCTGCTCAGTGACAACCTCCCCAGCATGATGTCTTACCTCAGAATCAAGGGAGCCAAGYGACCCTGGACTGAAACCATGAGCCAAAATAAAATTTTCCTACTTTAATTGTTTTTCTCAGGAATGCTGTCACAGTGACAAAAAGGTGACTAACACACTAAGGAATGAAATGTAAAATTGTGAAGTCACAAGATCAAATTGCAAAACAATCTAGTAGATTGTTTTTAATTGTGTTAAAATAAATACACTGTAGGTCTATTGAGGAGGGAAATAAATAATGAATTTCATTCTATACCTTTCTGTATAGTTTGAATTTTTACTTTGAGACTTTTTTTAAAAAAAGAAACTAATATTATACGTATGTTGTATATTTAAAATGAATAAATATTTTTATGAAGTTACGTACCTTGAAATTACCTACATTGACTTCAAAATAGTGATACCGATAGGTAGCATTAAATATAGTAATCATCATCACAAATTATAGTCATTATTATTTATTAAGCACTTGTTATGTTCTACGGTTAGTTTAAAGTACTTCTATTAATAATGTTCTTTAGGGAAAAAAAATATTCCCAAATGACAGGCTCCTGGGGGCCCAGACAATGGCTATGATAATGGAGTTTTTCTCTTTGATCACTTACGTCTTAAATTTGTGAAGCTGTAGGTCTCTATTAAAAAATGACTAATGCAACTTAATGTAGTAGTTCACTTTAGGTACTGTGAACTACATTTATAAAATGGTGAGCAGTTTGAAAGTATTTGCATGTGTGGTGGGTCCCTTGTGTTCTGCTACCCCAGGAGATATAGCTACTCCTAGTTTCTTACGTGAAAGAAGAAACCTTCCAGCAAAGGTACTCAAGAGTCACTCTGTCCCTCAGCATTGCTAGCCCCCCTTCACCCTTGGGGGCCTTCATAAACACTACACAATGCACACACATCCCATCAGCAGGGACCAACCCCATCTGGAGGTGGCAGTAACTCAAATCCATTCTCTTCCTTGAGTGATGCTCTTCCTCTCTGATCAGGTCAGAAGTAGGAGGAGACAGAAGCAAGGCTTGCTTTCTGACTTTCTATCTGCTAATTCTCTGTTCTCTGAGTTAGAGCTTATTATGTTAGAGGAAAAGAAGTTATTCTTTTAAAAAAATATTTATTTTTTAGTTGTAGATGGACACAACACAATACCTTTATTTTTATGTGGTGCTGAGGATAGAACCCAGGCCCCACCCGTATTAGGCAAGCGCTCTACTGCTGAGCCACAATCTCAGCCCCAAGAACTTATTCTTAGTTCATCAACCTTTGGAACTAGGAAATGAGACTTTGATCAGAATAAAGCAGTACTTTACCAATGTTATCTAATTTAGTCACCATAAAAACTTAAGAGTGCAGTTCATTATCTGCATTGATGTAAACAAGACTTAGAAACACCACGTTGTATGCCCAAGGTCATGAAGTTGACAAAGCTCGGTGAACCCTGGGCAGAGCCCCTCTAAAGACTTTGCTAATGAGCTAATAACCATGCCCAGCTGAGATGCTGGTAGGCACTGTTGGATTAGCAGTTCACTGATGTTAAAGGCATTTAAAAAATCTTAATATCTCTCTCTGTCTGCATTTAGACTGAATTTGCATTACTGTTCTTGCTATGTTCTCTCCAGGACATTATCTTGATTTCCCCAAAGTTATTTTGAGGACTTACAGGAAGGTTAAACTACATGCCAAAGTTAGCCATCAGCTGGTGAAGCTAAGACTTGCATTTGAAACAAACGCATCTCTTGGATGATTTCGGACAGTCCTCTGAGGTCTTTTGTTAAAGACAGTTTCTAGTGTCAGGGATTGGTCTCCCAGTACTTGTTGATGGGAGCATTCATTTGAGCTGATATCAAAACACACACAATCAACAATTACTAATGATCTGATTATCAAACTTGTACATCTTCTCCTTCTCCTTCAGGCCTATCTCTTCACTCATTAATATATTCAAAGTGGTTAGATAGGAAACCCACATTTGTTTTTGTGGTTGTTGTTAAAACTTTTGGGGAACCAAAAAAAATGAAATAAAGTATAAAGAATCATATTACCGACTGAAATGAGTCAGGGACAATTACTATGACTTAATTTCCTCTAATCACCTTTATTCTTCATTAGGAAATATAAGGAGAGAAGGCCATTATTCATGTGAGAGCTGGCACTGAATAAGCAGTTCTGAGTAGGGCTTTGTAGGTAGACAGCCTGGGTGGAATCCAAGCTGACTCCGTTTGGTTTTGGCCAAGATCCTTCAGCTTTCAGTGCTCACTCTCCTTCCTGGAAATGAGCATCTTAACCTAACTGTGGAGCCGTGTGGGATCATGGACTCACCAGTGCAATCGCTCTACTGAGGAACCCCTCCACACAGGTTAGGGTGGCACTGGTTTATAGATTGGCTCTTTGTTTCTTGGGGGAGGCCAATTTGCTGTTTTTAACCCTTCTGTTTAAAAAAAAATGGTTAGAGATATAAAGCTTCATCAAAGTGAGCAGGAATCAAATGCTATAGTGAGAACTCTGAGACCATTAAAGATATAGACTAAAATGAAACTTGGGCCTTATTCCTCCATAATTGTTCTGCCTATAGGCATCACCTCTTAGGGAATAAGCTAGAAGAGGGTCAGTTCTTCTAGATTCTTCTGTTGTCTATTCAGAGGACAGCATGAAGGAGTTGCTGTCCTCTACATACGAAGCTTGGGCTCCTGACCTACTCTCTACTCTGAGCACCATGGCATGATTGAGTGATGCTCCCACCAACTGGGATTGCTCTTGGCTGTCTTCCTCCTGTAGTTGTATTTGATGTGATCATAGGGCAAAATCCAAATCTAGGTGAGGACAGAGGACGGAGAAGAGAAGTGAGGGGTTCTAATCAAAACAAAAGGAGCAGGATGCCCATTCAGTAGGAAAACTTCTTCCTCAGTGGGCTCATCCTGAAAGTTCTCCTCCCAGATATGAAACTCCTTCCATGTTTCCATAACAAAGCTCAGAGAGACCCATGGAGAAGAAGATAAGAAACCCAGCCAGTATTTAGCAAGTGGAAGTAGATGAGAGCCCATCCTGTCATGCCAGTGTTGCATGCAACTCTGCATTCAGCATGGGAACAAGAGAGTCAAGTTCAAGAAGTTTGACTCAGGGAGACTCAGTCCATTAAAGGACACTTCAGGCTAATGCAGACACAAAGAGATAGTTTCCTTATCTTCTCCAAAGCAAGAGTGCTACCAACTTCCATAGATGAGGGACTAGAAGTTACGAGTCACATCTCTGCAGATTCCTTGCAGCTTGTCGTATACTTTAGTGAAATTTTGCTTAGCCACTCAGACCAACCCTACAGTATAGCATGTCATTCTTACCAAGTATTTTATTATCTTTATTAGGTTCCAAATAAAAGAATTCCTTCTGTTATTTATACACACACACACTCACACACACACACACATTTATACATACCAGGTGAAACTAACTGATAACTGTTGCCTGGTTCTAGGGACCTTGAGAGGACAGAGCTGGTAATTGGCCCTCCATATGCCAATCACACTCAGTGCCCTAACAGCACCAGGTCAGGTCTGACTGTCTCCTAATATGCAATTCAAATAGACAAACATGTGTTGAAAAATTAGTATGTTTGAGGCCTATGCTAAGTGAAACAGCAGGCACAAAGATAAATAAGACATGATCTTTGCCTAACGAGAGCTCATAATCTAATAGAGCAGACGATTACGTAAATAACCACATTATGGAGGAGAGAATGAGAAGCACTATTACAAAAATACAAAACCAATCAGCAAGTAGGAGAGGACAGGCTAATTCTGTTCAAGGAAATAGAAGGACTCAGGGAGATGGCAGGGCTTTCAGGATGGCAGGCAGTAAAGCTAAAGGGTAGGAAAATAAAGGGTATGTTTGCAGAGATGAATTTTGACCACTACATAGTCAGTACAGGGCTGGATACTGAAGAAGCAAAAGGCATATATCTTGCCTGCCCTTAAACAGCTTATGCTCATGATGGGGAGATGAGATGTATACTCATGAAACAAAGTGATTCAGTGCTAGCTATTTTATCTAAGGTCAGAATCAAGGGCAACCGACTTTGTAGTCA